GGTAGACCACTAAGTTTCACAATACACACAAGACTCCTGCAGAATAAGTGCATTTTATACTTCACTGCAGTGGCATAGAAATTGACCTGTTTTCTTAATTACTGAAGAGTAAAGTGGATTAATGAAAGACAGGTTAGGATAACTGCTGTTTTTCCAATGAGAGTTGAGATTAGCAGCTCTTCTCTTTAATGAGTAAAATTGTTACCTTGCATATGAAGGAAAAGCTACAAACCTGTTGGAATCTATCTGTATCTCTTGCAATAAGGATCTCGGATGGTGAGTAACCATCTAGATTGTAATTTTGGTTGCTATGATTTTGCCAAACTAAACCACTGTGGGGAAAACATGAAAATTTTCCTTGTGAACTCCTTGCTTCATACTGGTTTTAGATGACCTTTAAATTGAGATTATGTAAGAAATGTTTGTCTGTATGGAAAAAAAAAAATCTTAATTTGATGAGAAGCGAAGGACAGTCATCCACGATAGTGCTTGCTGTTTTTCTGAAAATCAGCCTAAATCCAATTAGCATATGAATGTCTACAAATTGTAGCCATCTTGTTTCGTACTTCCCTTCCTGCCTTCTAACTTTTGCAATGAAGAGGACCAGGGGAAACAAGGGAAAACAGTTCATAGTCATGGAATTAAAGACACTGAACAATACCAAATTCTGAAGATGCCTCACTTCTGAGTGCTTAGTTTAGCAGCATCTCCTGATTTTAATCCAATAAGAAATTTCTCTCATTTATATGTATATGGTGTCAATATGCCCTTCAGCGAAGTACATGGTGTACCTTAAACTGCTAGCAACTTTACCTACTCCTTTTGCATAGTCATTATGGTATGAAGTTTAATACATCACATACAATTTCTCAGTGAAGCATTGCATTATTATTAGGTTCTCAGCATCATTTGAATGTGCCTTGAATGCAATTAATATTTTGAACAAAAATAAATACTGAAAAATAATTCTAAAATGTTCTCAGTAAACTTCTTTAACTTTTCATTTTTACATACATCTTTATTTCTAAATTGAACTATTCTTTTTCTGTTTGAGAACTGGGTTTTATGTAGGGAACATACAAGAAATCTGCAACAGTTTTTATATGAATTATGCAAAATCTTTCAGAAAGACTAATTTTGTTTTCAGTTTAGCATTTTTTATTTTTTTCCTGAAAAGCGTTTTTCCTTTTTGCTAGTTTATTGCATTATAAGTTAACCTGCTATTTAGAATGTCCCTCAAAGAGTTTTTATGGATTTTTGTCTGATATATGCACAACATTGGCATGAATTTCTCTATTTGGTACATCTGTGTGCTGAAGGTTGTAGAAACAATTCTGTGCTAGAAAAATATGTGCTTGGTAATTAAAATACTGGCATATAAAGCAAAAACTTAAGCATAAGAATGACTGCACTGTTAAAGTATCATTTCATAAAGTTGCACAGTGAGCTTTCCTTAAAGAAAAATAAATATTCTGTGATCTCATGTGTAGGGATATGTCTGTAGGTGTGTATTATACACACACACACAAAATTGATCTGAATCAGAAGATCATTTAATAGCTCATATATGCTGTGTTGTCTGGTGTACACGTGATTTATAGAGCAAAAGCTCCTTTGGAGCCTGGTACTCTTCCCCTAGAGAAGCAAGGTCCTGTTCATAGGCAGGAATCTTGAAGCACTAAGCTGTCAAACCTACCAAAAAAAAAAAAATTATGCAGGCTCAATTTATGACTATAAAGGGATTCTAACTAAAAGGATTTGGTCAAATAGCTGACTTCCTTCCCTCCCCTCCATTTCCAGATAGTCAAAAGTATTGCTCTATAATGAAGGCCATTTATCTGCTAAAGGACTAGAAAGTTGAGAAAAGCTGAGTATGTCGATTCTGTAGGTGTGTCTGAACAGGTGAAACTGCAGCTATTAACCATGACCAGTGCTGTACTACAATTTGTATATAAATCAGTATAGATTTAGCAATTTTTTTTTTTTCTTTATAGTGGAGAGTGGCTTTTTTTCATTCAACTCATTTCTAAAGTATGTAAGCAAATTTTACTCTCAGGATAAAGACAGCCCTGTAAAGAGTCAGTCTGATGGGTGAAAATTTTGGACAGTTGTGATCATGCAAAAATAGGAACGTAGAATGGAAGTTCTCTGCCTCTGGCTTGGTTTAGACTCAGATAAGTCTATGCTTTGTATCCCTACCTCAGTTCTGTTTGCACAACACATTATTCAAAACCATTGTTTACAATTTATTTTCTGTAATTTGTGATAATTCCAATTTAGTACTCATAGCTAAGCAAGGGATTACAAGTTATCTGGCCCAACTCTTTAAAAGATATTTAAGCAGTTAGCCCACAGTCTGTTTCAATAGCTGTCAGGCACCCACATGTCTTTAAAGACTGTGATTGTGAGTTTAGGTGGCACAGATTTCTTTTATGCTAATTTCTCCTGGCTAAACAAATAATGAAGAGCTAAACTGTACCAAAGAGCATTCAATCTAATGAAAATCATGTGTTTGGTTATTTTCTCTGGACTTTAATTCCATTTGAAGTTTGTTTTTATTCTCATCACATATTTCATGGTTAGAAAGCTAGAAGAGGCCATTAGATTTAGTTGGAGCTTCTGTATAATGTAGGTTCTTAATGTCACCCTGTTATTTATACGTTTAGCCTGTAACTTCTGTACAATGATAGCACAAATAGAATGTATAATTCATATAGTGTTTTTCTATAAAACTATTTCTACTGAAGAATATTTCTATTCATTTCAGATTTGCAATGTCACTCTATTTGAAGATCCCAGTGGAGTTTTAAGCTTGTATTTTAGCTCTTAAAATAATTTTAAACAATTCTGGCAGCAGCAGAAAAAAAGTCTCTTGGGGACCTAGCTTAGTTGTCTAATTTCTAAATAGTTTAAATGCTAAGCCTGTAAAATAAATTATGTATAGCTTGAATTTAAATGAACAAATATGACTAGTTTTCCTTTGGGAAATAGCTTTAATTTAAAAAGAAAATGATGTTTTTTATGTAACTCACAGCTGGGAATGCATTTGTTAGCAAAATAGCTATTTGGTGTTTTGAAAATTTAGTTCTGCTTAAGCTACAGGCTCAATAAGCAGTCAGCACACAGACAATTTCCATATAAAAACTAAGCCACTGATGCACCTGGCTTGGCTGGGTTAGTAAAGAAATGACTGTAAATTGAGTTCTTGTAAAATGTGTCTCACAAATGATGAATGTGTGCAGGACAGAAGTTGTGGGTATTTTCTTCCCTCTACTCCCATGGGGTATAAGATGCTGATTAGTGTACGGGCACCACTGTAGACACTGAAAACCTGGCTTTTGCGTACCAGGTTTCCAGAGCTTCATTTTTTTGGCTGGTTTTTTTTTGTTTGTTTGTTTGTTTCTCATGCTATATTTCTAGCAAAGCAGCTTTGTTCTGCTTTCCCATTATTGTAGATTCATTTTCTCATGGCTCTAGGCTATGCCATGGAAGAACAGTGAAGCTGCTGTTTTTGATCCATAGATCTTTCACTTAGACACTGAAATCTCCTCCTCCCCCTGCTTCTAGGCTTGGCAGCCTCAGTGCTGTGCTGTGGCCAGTCTTCCACAGGGTGTCTTTGCTAGGTTGCCTCCCGATGTAGGCCAGGTGCTCCTCTGCTGTGAAGAAGGTCGCCCTTCTTCCCTAATCTGGCTGGTAGGAAGACAACCTCACTGCAGGGCCCTCCCCAGCCTTTTTCCTACCCCAGGAGCTGTGTGGCCACAGTTTTCTGCATAAAGGGGTGAGTTATTCCTCAGACCTCTTCAGCCTTCTCTGCATGCACATATCTGAGGGTGCCTTTCCTAGGTGCTAAGTTTCCAAGCTCTAAGTTTCGTTTACGTGACACCAGGATCTGTGCTGTTGTTGCTACTTCTCTATTTTGAAATAACATTTCTCAGGCTTCAGCTTCACACACACACACACCCCCTCTCCCTTACATGCCAATTTGACTCTTAGGACATTCGCTCGGGCTTGGGTGCTTTATTGTGTTTTTCTGGGGTGGGGATGGGAGGGAGTTACTCTTCGTTGAGGTGAACCTCCTTCACTTCAGGTATTTGGTTAAGCCTTCTGGTCACCATAGGGCTTCCTCTGCCCTCAGAGAGATGCTTGCCAATAAAGCTGTCATTGGTTTTGATGGGTGAATGTTTTCCTGATATGATCAGGAGTCTGTTTGGAAGGGGGAAAGATCACCAAGACATTTGGACATGTGTCACAGAAGAAAACCATCAGATTGTGATGTTAGGACACTGAGCATTTTATGAAAAAACACAACATGGAAAGCTCTGTATCCCATTACAAGGTAACAACAGTTCTGGGACCAACCCCTACCTTAGGGTCTGCTTACAGCTGTAGTTTTTGTTTTCCCAGATAACACAGCTATCTGCTTCAAAGGGACAGGGAAGAATGAAAAAGAGGAAGGACCATGACTTCTTAACACCTGCCTCCTAAAAAGTGTGTGCATGTGTGTATACGCTGTGCCATACGCATTACTCCAGAGTACTCAAAACTGTTCTCTAATCCTTTTAACTGTGTAACTCCAAGGAGGTATCCTAGGAACTTTTTGTACTTTTCATACTGGATATTTTCAGCTTGGGGTTAGATGCTGCTAACTTAGAGTATTTTATTGGCATTATTTACAGACCAAGAATTATTCTGCTCTTAGAAAGAACACTGGTATTTGTCTTGAAGGTTTTGCCATGCATAAAAGGGAAAAACAGTGTTATTTCTATTGATTCACCTTCAGACCACATAGAAAATTCAAAGAGAAATAACTAAGTGAAGAGAAATTACTAAGTGGCAGAAGGGAATGAGGAATATGTTCCTGGGCCTCAATCCGAAAGGTCATATACTTGGCGTCTTATGAATGTCAAGTCTGAAAACGAAAAAGCAATGTAAATAACCCAGTGCCTTTGCATTGCTGGTTGGCAAGTTCCCTCACTAGCTCTTGCTGTCCTTCCTGTCAGGATCTGTCACTGTGAGGGAGATGATGAAAGTCCCCTCATCACACCATGTCGCTGCACAGGGACCCTGCGCTTTGTTCATCAGGCCTGCCTGCACCAGTGGATTAAGAGCTCAGACACGCGCTGTTGTGAACTCTGCAAGTACGACTTTATAATGGAGACCAAGCTCAAACCTCTTCGGAAGGTATGGTGCTTTTGAATTTAATTACACTCAAGCGTCAAATGGCCAGAATGGCTGCGCAAAATACTGGCACAATTAAAGAAGCATCCGCCTGTCCAAAATGGCTTTGTATTTACTGTTGTTAAATCAGTCCCAGTGATTTTATTTCTACATTTAAGTTAGTTACTTTACAGCAGCAGAGGATTTTGACTAAAGACTTTCTTTCACCACACATGCAATATAAATGCACAAATAATAGGTTTTTGTATTTAGAATGTTTATCTTCAGCTTTTTGTTACTGGGTGATCTGCTTATTTTTAAGCCACAAAGAAACCTTACTCATCATGTTTTGCTCCTGAATAACACAGGCCAGTTCACCCAGTAATTTTTACATTGAGCCCATAACTTCTGGTTGAGAATGACGCTTATTCCAATGTGGAGACAGCAATTACGAAGTAACACGGTCAGTCAATTTAGCTGCATCTGTTCTGTTAGACTCGTGGGCAAATTAATCACTTGTACAGTAAGATTAATTAATGGAATCTAAACTACAGGGCGACCTTGCATCCTGAAAGGCAAATGTATGTTATCTGTGCTCATCTGTTTTCCAGGATAAATCAATTTAATGGTACACGGGTTGTCAGTATAGGGAAGGTGAAGAGTTTGTTAAACATATGTGGGGTTGGTTTTCTTTGGAGTGAATTATTTCTCCTCTGATTTTTCTCTAAAATTGCTCTCATCCTTTTTGGGTTTTGTTGCATCTTTGAAGTTTGAGTTAATCTAGAACAGGGCAAGTTTTGATTTAGAATAAATTTCAATGTGAGAGCCCTTGAAAAACACGTAGAAACTATTAGCTTATAACTAGTATATGCATATGTAGTAGTGTTTTGATGGCAAAAGACATTTTGGTTTTGTCAGCTTTGCACAGGTAGCAGTGCAGAGAAAAGAGAGCAAATGAAATTCCTTCTCATTTCCCATCCAGAGAAATTATCTAGTAAGTCCCTGATGATAAACCACTTTTGAAGAGAGAACTGGGATTGATTTGACAAGCAAAGCTTGTGATAGGAAAGGACACAGTTCTCAAGTGCCAGGTAGATCGTGCCAGGTAGACTGGAATTGAAACGGATGTAAATAAAAAACTGATGGCTAAAAACTTAATTATATTGACTTAGTTTTTAGCAATTGCAGATAAATTTTAGCTATTGTGACAGGAAGGAGATAATTGTATAAAATTCCCTGCCTATAGCATGCCTTTTGAGTTTTTTTTCTGTGTATGCGTTTCTATTTTCAACACAAATTGCTTTAACCTTCCATCTAACAAATACACTCGCAACAGCCACTTTTCCCAAGAGAATATACAGATATCAGTATTTTTAACAAAAGCTTTTTCCTGATTGTGTTAGATAATAGAGCGTCTTTAAAAAAAATGGAAATAAGATTTATGGCATCCAAGGAGAAAAGGAGTGGAAAATGTGCGTAACTGTTGATATCAGAAGTAGGCACTTTTAACTGTCTGTGTCTCATCATTGCCACCCCCCCGCCCCCTTTTTTTTGTTAATTGAAAGAAATTAATGGAATAGTGACAGATTTAGAGTGGTAATGTAATTCCTGCAAGTCTGTCACTGCTTAATTGAATGATTACCACCTTATTCATCTTACCGTTGTTTCTCAGGTGAGGTTTTGATTTCCGACATAGGAAAGATGAGCCTCTTCTTTCAGACAGGATATTTTTGTTTGTGCTTAAAGCAGTACTCAAATGTAGTTGATATATGCCTGACAGTAATGCTGGCAGCGTTATCCCCTTCAAATGCATTGCTAACAAATATTTGTCTGTGTAGTATAGACCCAGCATCTAATTACAGATCCCTTCTTATAATTTACACCCATTTCAGAAACCAAAACTTGGAAACATTTTTCAAAGTTTTCAAGTTAAAACCAGATATCCTTTTTGCATTTATAGCATTCAACTGTGACGCCCTTCATATGTTATATTAAACTGAATATATCGTGCCTAGTAAGTGTATGCACTATCATCGCCATTGTTCACAAATTTATGAAACACTAAACGGTTTATGAGAAGCTGTTTTGTAAACCAAGCATTTTGAGAGCTGTAGCAAAGACAAGGTAAGGGAGGAAAGAGGGATCATCAAGAGACCTGCCGGGTAAGTACAGCTGACTGGTAACTTTTCACCCAAACATCTTTTATAAAAATCACCAAAAGTGCTGTTTTGTCAAAACGTATGTATTTTGCAAAAGTGGGAAGTTCCAGTGAAACACTGTCAAATTTCTTGCAAGCTTTTATGGTGCCCAGAACCTCAGCTGTGGGGCATTCCCTAGAAGTCCAGGTTGTCAGAAGACGGCATGAAGACTGGTTACCAGAGGTCAAAGTGCTGTCGGACAGGCAGCTCCTCCTGCCTCCTTGTTGCAGGATCTGAAAATTACTACAGAGAGTCTAGGACTTCCAGAGTTCTTGAGAGCTTTAGGTTTTGCTAAGGCTTGGCTATGTAGTACACCCTGAGAGCCTTCAGTCTCCAGCACTAAGTCCAGCCTCGCAGCAGTGAATTAAAATCCTCCAAATCTCCTAAGGATGGAAAATGAGGAATTCTCTGGTGGTAATGGCAGAGACGACATAAGCAGTGGCATTTATATCGGAAAATGATGCAGTTCTTGTCAGCTTTGCCGTATGCCAAATGGAAACAGCAAAATTGACAAAAAATTGATTTATTTTGCTAATAAACTTTGAGGAATTCCGAAAACATTTAATTTCAGTGTTTCCTAAAGAAAAGACCACAGATTTAGTTCCAACAGAAGAGTACCTATTCATTTCCATAAGAAACTTATTTTATTAAAAAAAAATTGAAATTTCCCTTAAAGTGAAAGTTTGTGGCCAGCTCCAGAAGATGCCATTTCCATGGCCATTAGACCTGGATTTGAAGTGGCATTCTACAAGCAAAAGGGTCACATCTTTCAACCAATTTTGATTTTTAATCTCTACCTTAGCCATGATGTGAGATTCTATAGTTTGGTTCTTGACAGTGCATTGCTTCGTTATGAAGAATTTTATCAAAATAACTGTAACATTCCAATCGCTGGTGTCCTGAAGGGAAAAACTACAGACCACAAAACTCAATTACAGGTATCTATACTTTTGTTTTTGCAGTATCACAAATGCAGAATTTAAATATAAAACAAACCATTTGACTCAACTGGTGAATTACTGTCTTTATTCACGCCTCAGCCTTTCATGCACCCTCAATGTTTCCTAACAGGCTTTTATCAAAGTCTAGGGTTTTATAGCAAAATCATGTTTGAATATTGTGTCATACAGCTGTTAGCACCCATAAGTGACAATGTGCAGCATACTAAGTTAACATAAATCAAGATACCTCTATTAAATCAATAGGCTTGTGCCAATATGCAACAGTTATTTAATTACAGAATCCCTGAAAGCACCAGACATCAAATAAAACTTAGTTTAATCATTTTAGTGAGTTTTTGCATTGGGGTAATCCTTTTAAGCATTGATCAACAGGCTTTGCAAGTGTTTCATCTATTTGAGCAGGTCTAATTACTTGGCTAAATATAAATTTAGAGATTAAATACTAAGCATTGCTTAGAGTGTCTGTTTTATTTCTCGTGGTCTCTGTTATGTCTATCTACAGTTATAAATAATACAGTTGCATTTGTAGCTTTACCTTTCAGCATTTGGAATCCATAATGCAGAATTTCTCATTTATAAAGTGACTTTATTTATCATGGAAGGAATTAGAAAGTGGCAAGAAGCTTGTGAGTTCCTTATTGAGCTCTCTCAGGTAATAGCTTCATCCTGAGAAAATAACTTCTTCTTTAAAAAGGATGTAATCCTGGTAAAGTAGCACCTGCATGTCATATCTCTTGAATTTGGTGTTTGAAGCATGGTAGAAACAGACACTGACTGAAAATACTGTGAGTATGAAATGGATTAAAGTGTCAAATTAAAAGGCGCTTAAAATGCAGAAATTTCTTCAAACGGAGATTTCTCCACAGTGTCTTGCTATACTTCAAAATACTTTTCGTATTTAAATTTTGCTGTCCATTTAAGACGTCTGGTATCTGATGAGATGTTTTACTTTGATGCATTATCCCAACAGATTATTCTGTGGTGTCGGATATGTCTATTTTCTCTCCTGATTTTGTTTTATCTTTGAAATTATTTACAAATAATGTCTTATTTATGTGAGGCATAAGCAATATTGCACATTGTTACCGTGTAGTTACTCTTGGTCATTAAGAAAGAGCGAGCTGATTTTTTGTTTAGGAAAGCATTATGTACCAGTTGAGGTTGATTTTCTTTCTGATTGAAAGGGTATCTGAATTTCTCCCTTTTAAAAATAGAGGATTGGGAGTGTTCTTTTAGAACAGAGTGATAAGTTTCTGTTAACTTATACAGAAGCAAAGCCAATCTTAAAATACTGATAATGAAAGAAACTTGATCTTATTGTTTATTTTGAATGTGTACATATACCTTCTAAGTGTTTACTCCTCTTGTATCCTGTATTTGTTTATAACAGATAAATAGCACTTCTAAATCTGATATGAGGTACATCTGTCTGGGTTTTACACCCTTGAACTCTGTGGAACTTCTCATGTACCCAGCTGCTGTCATTAGAGGAGAAGGAAGGAATGCTGTCTCTCCACTTGGTATCATTTATTTTATAAATAACCAGATTGTAATAAGAGTGGTAAAATGCCAGCTTTAACTTCCGTACAGGATTCAAAGGTTTAAGTCCCAGTTGGAGATACGTGGTTCACGACTGCCCAGAGCAGGGTATTTATGTCCTGGAGAGAAGTTATGGAACTGGCTCACTCAAAAAAAATTTCCATATGAAGCAAAACCCAGTTCAAGCATATCAGTGCCCCTTTGTGGTCGGATTAGTGATTAACTGGTTAAATCAGTGTGGGGAAGATTTCAATTGTTTGGTATGATGCTGATTTAACTATTGGATCAAAAGCAAATATTTGGTTTTACTATAGTAGCTTAAAGA